GTTCTCTGAAAATTCAAAGCATTGCTTTAATCAAAATCAATCGCTGAGAGAAACGTTGGTCCTCTAAACATTTTCATATTAAATATCGTAGAATATATTTTAATTATTTTTCACTGATTTGTTGTGTTGTCTATTCAGTCTGTTGGTGTGATTTAAAAAGTATTTGCATCATCTGCAGGGTATGAAGGAGTTGAGAAAGCTTGTGGAAGATCTACCTCGGGTAAACTACAACCTTCTGAAGTACATCTGCAGGTAATAAATTATTTTTAAATTATATTTAAGTAAAATCATGATAAATATTCAACGGGGAAATGTTTATTCAAATGTGTTGTTTTGCCAGATTTCTAGATGAAGTCCAGTCGTATTCAGGGGTGAATAAAATGAGCGTCCAAAACTTGGCCACAGTCTTCGGGCCAAATATCTTGAGGCCGAAGGTCGAGGATCCAGTCGCTATTATGGAAGGTCAGTATTCTGGCTCGTCATGTGTGCGTGTCTTGCATGCTGACATTATTTTAACATTAAGAGTAATTATATGCACATTTCAAAAGGAAAGATACTGATTTCAGGTCTCATCTTTTCAGGTACTGTTCTGGTCCAGCAGCTCATGGCCGTTCTGATTGGCCGCCAAGACGTGCTGTTCCCCCTGGAAGAGGACAGCCCCACGGCCCTCGAGCTTGTCAACAACAACAACATCGAGCTGCCACGTGGACAAGCCACCACGACTACCTCCGCCATCGCTACGGTGACCCAGAACGCCGAGAACAACAACACACAGGTGGTGCGGCAGTGTGTTTGGGAAGCACCCGCATCTCCGTCGCACCGCCAGCACGTGGACAACAACGTCTCCCCGCGATCGGCCAGCCCTCGTAGCGGTGTCATCGGACGCTTTGACATCACCCGCAGTCCACCAATGACGGTTAAAAAGAACCCAGCTTTCAGTAAGGGCAGCGGGATCGTAACAAACGGCTCCTTCAGCTCCTCGCCCTCTTCAGACCCCAGTCAGGAGAAGAGCCAGACTCTAACAGGAGGCGGGAGTTTACCGGTGCGCCGCAGTGGGACGCTCAAAGGCTCCGGCACCAAAATGGGCACCAGTGGCGTGACGAGTGGTGGCAGCACCGGAGGGAACGGGACTGGAGTTGTGCGTATGGGCCTATCCGGCACTGATGCGGGTTTGAACGGCCGCAACGGTCTGTGGGTACCAAACGGCTGCGTCACGTTACGCGACAACAACAAAACCCGAGACGGCACCCAAGTGGATCAAACATCCAATCAGAACCGCCTGTCCACGTACGACAACGTCCAGTTAAACCACCACAACCTGCAGCAGCAGAACCACATCGCCAACACGTGTCTGAACAGCAGCTGCGAGGACAAGCAGAGCGTGGACAGCGCCACCTGGTCCACCTCCTCCTGTGAGATCTCCCTGCCGGACAACTCCACCTCCTGCCGCTCCTCCACCACCACCTGCCCCGAGCAGGACTTCTACGGAGGTCACTACGAGGACATCGATGGAGCGGTGCGAGACACTGAGCCCAAGTCTGGTGGAGGAGGAGAGGGGGAGGGCAGGAACAGCAACAGAGAGGGCAGTGGAGAAGGAGCGGGGGGGAGCAGTCGGGGCACCAGCAGCAGTGATAACAGTGAGGGATACACTGTGGGGAATGGAGCCGGCAGCCACAGTGCTCTGCACAGCCTAGTGGCCAGTCTCAAACAGGAGATGAACAAGCAGAAGACCGAGTACGAAGCCAGGATAAAAAGGTAATGACATTTAGTTTTGTTTGCTTATTTAGTGAAAATTAAACGGTATCCATCGGCTAAGAAGTGTTTTTTCACAAAAACTATAAATAATGACCAGATGTATAAATCTTAAGTACAAGGGATGACACTTTTTCCTATAAAAACTTCAAAGTTTGAGATCTTTTTAAGTTTTATATGGCATGCAACAAATAATGACTTATAAATATGACCTAGATATAGAGAGTAGACAGTACAATATAGAGGAATGTGCACGAAAGATATACAAAACCACAATTGACCATTTGCTAAAATATTGCTGAATACAATTTAAACAAGACTGTATGTGGTGTGATGACCTTAAACAAAACATCATGTAGGAAGTATTGGTACAAAAGATATTCCATTAACCTCCTCAACAATTCCACCGCAATTCATTTAGCATATTGAAAATGCAAATAAAGTGTTTATTTAGTTGTTTAGCCAGTTTAGTAAATGCTGACACTTCTTCCAATGCTTTGTTGCAGCTTGGAGCAGCGTAACGTGGAGCTGGAGACGGAGATGGTGAGCCTCCACGAGGAGCTGGACCAGGAGAGGAAGAAGTACACCATGGCAGAGATCAAGCTGCGCAACGCGGAGCGCGCCAAGGACGACGCCGAGCGGAGGAATACGATGCTGCAGAAAGAGATGGAGCAGTTTTTCTCCACGTTCAGCGACCTCACTGCGACTGGAAACCCCCCAGCAGCCGACCCCCGCCGACCAGATCGTAACAACCCCATCTGGATACAGTGAAGGGAGGCTTATGATGTGATGGGAACAATATGAGTGCTCCAAACAGGATTTGGCTGCTGGTTGTTAAGGGAAAGTTACAATGCAAAGGTTAATGGCATGTTAATTTAAGAAATAAGAGGTGTATGGCTAATGAGAGCCACCTGTATAAATATAGACATCACCTGGAGTGATGCCAGACTGACAATATGTGTAAATACAGTGTTATTTAAACAGCTCCCAGACACTCATCTGACTGAAGAGGATTGAAGGCACACCTATAGTCCATGATGATGCGTTAAAAAGGTTGCGTTTAGCCAACAAACATAAAAACCTTGGACCTGAAAACACAAAAAAGACCATGCAAGAACACCTCTATATTTAAATGTCTTTTAAAAAATCTAACCAAAAACATCTTGTTGTTCCGTGTAATTCTGTATCTGCTCATGTACATAGAGGGAAACGATGCAGAAAAGTGTCATATGTATGTAAAAAGAAATGAAAAAGTAATATTTAAATGTTTATCTGATATTTACGCAAAGTTATCAATGTGCGATATTTTATATTACGTTTTCTCCTTGCACTTACATGTTTGTTTAGTCTCAGCAAGGTGGTACTGAATGTTCTGTCGGTCAATGTGTGTACCAATTAAATTTGGACAATATACTGTATAATATGTGCCTGTGCTTCTGTGCTGTTTATTTACCCCATGACCAAAAAAAAGAGCCTGTTCTGTAAATATTTTATAGATATTCATAGACACTACTTGTTAGTCTGCACTGTGCGTCGACACATATTCACATGTATATGCCACCTATTGAGTTGATACTGATTGAGGAATGTTTTTGTAAAGATACATTTTAAGACTGTACGATGGGTCATTGGCTAAAATCCCAGATTCAAACAAATATCAGTTGTCAAATCTGAATTTCAGTGGAAGAATTCTCTCTGAATACGCTTATAAACAGTTTCTGAGCATACTAGATGCCAGTTTCAACAATATCTTCCTGTACTTTCCATTTTCCAGTTTCAACACCTAAAAACAGGTTTCTCCCTAAACTAGCACAGAATAACAAGCTGCAGAGTCCCGACACAGAGTTGTGTATTTTGTTTATAACTGTGAAAAAAATTGAACTACAGCATCAAGTCTTCTACATGGAGACATGAACAACCTGGTGGCTACTTTCATTAGCAAGCGGTGTGTGCATGATGGTGCATGAGTCCATGCGGGCTGGTGTACAATATGTGAATGTCTGTAAAGTTACTGCATATCGATGAAGTCTTTATGAGTGTATTTATGTAGCTTCAAGCCAAATGTATACACATGATGTGGTTTTGCTGATGGGTACAAAACATCTTGAGCTGGACTTCTGAACAGAAGCTGCTGCTGGCTGCTCTTCCTCTGAAGACCAGGTCTTCTGCTGCTGGTCCACGCAGGACATCTGGAATGTGCACATGGAGGGGAAAAAGTGCCTGAACAACTGAAGGAGGGGAGGGGGGGGAGGAGGCTGTGCTCCTCATTTTGCACCCTCCACCGGGAAGTAAAGGGCTTAAGCCGAGCTGACTGGCACCTCGTTCTGTGACTCCACACAAAGAGCAGATTATGGACGCAGGGCGGGGGGGAGCAGGAGTGGGACAGTGGAATATTTTCATGACATGATACTTGATACACAAAATAAAAAAATACTTAATATGAATAAAAGTGCATTTTCATTTGATTCCTCTTGTTTTTGTCTCAAGGTCTTTCAAAAGGTGTGAGAAGATACAGAATTTGGTTAGTCTCGCATGTAACATGTGAGTGGACATTAGGCCTGGCACCGATGACTGTTTTCCGTCAGGTCAATTATTTTATATACAAATGATAACATTATTCAAAAAAAATAACTGATTAAACCAGCAGTTGTGGATACATTTTCAAGTAGATGTAATGTATTTCGTGTTTTTTTGATAAAACAGTTGGGCAAAGACATTGTTTGAAACCTCAAATATAATAATGTGGTTATGGACAAATATCTTAAGTCTTAAACATAACTAAAGTTGCCCATACAAACTATATCATTTTAATTAAAACTTTGCTTAGGATCTGTTTTGTGTGAATAAAGTGATATACAAACATGTCTACATGGATATATTGTAATAGTACATTGTCTATAGTTGTCTATTATACAACCAGAGAAGGTAAAGTGACCACAGTTTTAAAGATATTTGGAAATCTGACGGTCCTATAGTCTAAATCACCATGTTACTGTGATATGAATGTAATACTTAGGAAAGAGTATTGCCTTTTCTATCATCCTGCACCACCAGGCAGCATGTGTTTGCTCTAGTGTTGAACTGAGAGCCTGAATCTGAATTAGGGTCTGTGTAGGTGGGACTCTGTGTGACTGTGGCACTTTGGATAGATGGTTTCTATGGAGACAAAGGCCAGAAGAAACACTATAGGCTCATAGAGACATTTTGAATTGCAAATCACTGCGGGTAAAAGGAAGAAAGGTACACAGTTTTCCAAGATCAAATATTTTGTTTATTTTCAATCACATACATATACTATTTTTACATACACAGTTCCTTTAAAATGTTGTGTTTACAGTAACAGCTTTCAGTTATTTTTTTTATTTTTCTTTTGCATTTGTTTTGACTTTATTTGAAATGCTATAGCCTGAAGCTTTGAGATCAGCGTGAAACGGATACAATTTCTTTTTTTTTTCAACCTGACAATGTCAAAAGAATGTTTCATTAAAACAGCACGGAGTAAAAGAAACAAGAGAGAAGGAATCGTAAAAGAATTTAAGAACAACGTCACCTGATTCAGATGAGCTTTACAGGGTTTCATCATCGTAGAGTTTCACATTTAAAGATTCCAAACATTTTAGCATCACCCGACCCTTCAGTACCTCCCTGTCTGAGTGCAATAGTGTTTATTGCATTGTTGGATAATTGTTATTTACAATATGACTTGAAAGAAAGAGGTGAAAACTAAAAAGATGGGGGTCACAAGTACTTGGTCCAAAGATTTAATGTTGGCACAGCTGAGTACAAGATGTATTCTACTTTGTGACTAAAATTTGGCAATAATATTAATGGCTGATTGACAGACAGCCATCTTTAGTACAAATAAATGGGGATACATTTGGCTAATCCTGAATCCATTATATATCATTGAAAGCCCCTTGTGACCAGATTTGGAAGCAGGATGGGTGGTTGACATATTTCTAACTTCTAAACTTTGTGACTTAACGTGAATACACACATGAATTACTTCCAAACACACACCAGTACCGACTCTCCATCGACATTCTTTGAAAGCAATCCTCAAAACCCTATTGAACGAAAAAAGTGAAAACGTGAACTGTGAAATAATCCGTCCAGATGTCATATCACATCTCCCATTTCAACCTTACAGACAGTTAGTGTTGAATGCTGGTTAATTTGAAATCACACACACACACACACACACACACACACACACATACATACACACACACACACACACACACACACACACACACACACACACACACACACACACACACACACACACACACACACACACACACACACACACACACACACACACACACACACACACACACACTGATGACAAAGCAGAGCAGCAATGACGTGAGTGAAACAGTTTCTACATTCAGTGTTGACAAACCCAGCTGTTAGAATCAACTCTATTTCAGGCCCAAAAGCACCTTAATATCACAACAGAATTGTCTGGAGGGATGTCTTATAAAAAAGATCACATTCAGAGAAAGAAAGATAAACTATGCTTCAGTATTTGTACAACAGTACTGTGAGTATCTGTGGTGCACAGTAGGAGTCGACTCAAAACACTTTGACCCCTTTGTGAGAGATTATTTTTCAAAACACAAAGACATTTAAAAGTTTCACCCTGTTTTTTGAAAGATTGCCCTGGCCAGACCCTGACAGAAAGCTGAGCTAGCGTTAGCTTATTCTGGAGACGCCGCCCTCAGTCGCCCTGTTAGCTCTGTGAAGGTACCGCAAGTCTGTGTGTGGTTCACTGTACACAAGCCACAGGCAGGAGGAGAGTTAACAAAGTAGCCATTAGAAGTAACCTATATCATTTTGGGGGGGGTGATATTTAGACAGTGACAGGGTCCTTTAGGTGAACAAGAATGGAATTAGACTATCAAATGTTAAGAAGCGTATTAAACCAATACCTGACATGTCCACCTAAACAAGGCCATGACTGGGATTTCACTTTTATTCTAAACTAGTGGACATATGAGCCATTTAATTTCTGAATAACATGGTTATATTCATAAAAGTCAATGGTGTTTTGGTGTTCTAGAAACGTGAAAGCAACCTTAAGTGTCTTAAACTTCATCTTTGTATTCTTTCAGTAACCCGATTGTCAAGAACCAATTCATTATTAAAACAGTTTGAGTAAATGTTGTGTAAAAACTAGCATTAGCATAGCAGCATAAGCCATACAATCTGAAGACATTTCACAGCACGTCACAGTAACTGCTAGAACACAAGGTCAAAGCGCCAACATTTGTCCAAAGAGTTTTTAATTTAAAAAAAGTTTCCACCCAATTTGGTGGTTTAGGGATTAAGATTTTTAAGGCAGAAAAAGAAGAAGCAGAGGAAAAAATACCCCAAATAATATCATTTCTGTACTTGCAATGCTTCATTCCTAAAGGCACTTGCCATATTCAGGTTCCATCTATCTAAAATAAATAAATAAATAAATACATCCTAGAAATAATTAAGAAATAAAGTAGTCAACATAATTGTGTGGTAGCCTCTATCTAGTAGTTGTTTTACTTTAGGTGCAGGGAAATGACTTAACAAAATGATACATTGCTGCAAGGTTAACACTCGACGCCCGCCTTTAAACTACCTACTGTATCATTTGTATCTCTTTCTGTTTCAGACAGTCAAATAAATAGGAATAGTCTCCATGTGGCGACACCACAGTGAAACAGACCAACCTCCAGCGCCCATGAGGGGTTAACTGTACACAATGACATGCATCCCATGGGGGGGTGGAGGGACCAATCATACACTTCCAGGAGAAATAAAAGGTTCATTACTCACAAAGCAGACTTTGTAAACCCCTTATGGGTTATTTCAAGAAGTCTGAACACAATCAAAATAATTTATTCCAGAGTGTACTGACCCTTTAAGTCCCAAACTCAGCCCTGACATTTAATAATGTCTCAATGGCTTGTCTATGGTTAACAAACACACACTTACACACAATCTTACTCACTCTTCCTATCCTGTGACCAGACCCCCCATGTCTGGAGTTAGTTTACATCGTATATAAACAAAAGTCTCTATACAGACTCATTTTAGCATACAGTGAGATTAGCATTGTTTTAAATCTAGTCATGCAGGACTACAGCAATAGGCAGGGGCAACTGAGGTGGAGAGCAGTGATGTGGCAAGGTGCGCTAGTCAGAAAAAAACTCCCAGTGTACTGGCCGTCAGTCCCACTCTGTGTGCCCTTCAGCTGTACAGAATTACATTATTTACAAGTAGCGCAAGGGAGCGCCACTCTGGGTGAGAGCGACTACATATCCCTGCAGAATAACCACATAAAAACACACAAATCAGGCAACCTTACATGGGGGAAGTGTGGGTGGGGATGAGGGCCTTTAGAGGTTAAAATACAGCAGTGTCATTACATAAGGGTTGGATAGGGGGGAAGGGAGAAGGAGAATGTATTGTACAGTAGTGATGAGCAAAATGGCAGCCCACCTTGCCACAATGATTGGAGCATAAATGCTTTGGTAAGGAATCGGGAGACCAGCAGCCAGCCAGTATGCACTTTACAGTCGAAGCATTTTGGTCATTTTGTTTGGATGCCATATAGAAGATATGAGGGGTAATATAAGCAAAGCAACTAGAGGATCATTAACATACTTTGTTTTTGAATGACAATGCACAGGCTTGAGATTTCATCATTTCAGATTCTGTATTTCCATACGTTTTGTTTTTCATATTCATTTTGATCTTTGCTCTTTTTTTGTCGTTGTATTTTCAGTCGGTCATTTCAGTTTGGAGTCCTTCACCTGCGGAAGAACATGGGGTTGCGCAGGCAGGCCGCTAGTCACCTGCAACACCCCAGGGGTCCTGCAGAGGTCTCCAGGCTGCTGTCAGTGTCTGAGGCCAGGGTCTGGTCGGTGGACATGGAGGAGATGTCGTTGATGGAGGAGGAGGGGGGGAGGCTCTCGCTGCTGTTCACGGCTGCACCTGTGCTGAGGGAATCAACGGCAGCAACGGGTTACAACGTAAAAGAGTCCTGGCAAAGACAGGGGCGGAAATACAACTACAGGAGATATTGTGTAAGTGCACGCAGAGAAACGTTTTAGCTGAGATTGAGACACATGAACAACATCTGTGGGACACGACAATCACAGTGTCTATAATGAAGGGGAAAGTGAATCACAGGAAATGTCACCAAAGGCTGCAGCGATTCGGCAATCCAAAACAGTGAGCTTATGATCATTGAAATGGCAGCTAAATAACTACTTATAGATATTGTTAGGATTGTATCTTACATTAGATTGAGTCATCTGTTTTCCTGTTTTATTTTTGAAAATTCCTCAACCCATTTTATATATGTTTCTACTTCGACCTCCCCAGCTGTGTCTTGTCCTTGTGATTGGTCTCGCATGTATTTAAATTCATGTTTCTGTTTGGTGTTGTCAGATCCAGCTCTTTTTATTCCTGGACAACTTGCAATAAAGAATTCTGAGGTTTCATTAAGGACTCTTAGTTCAGTCACTTCAGATGCTATTCTGAAAGACATCTATTTTTTATGATTGTATTGCATAAACCCACTCTATCTGGACTCCATCTACAGAGCTAATAAGGTCAATTCAAGTTGTTCATGTATAATTGGTGGTTTTAAGGTTCAAACACAAACCTTCATATCAAATCATTTTTCAAAATGAAGGATCAGAGGGTGTCAATTAGGGGTACCACTTCTTAGTGATTTTTTTTTTTCTCTTTGATACGTTTATGTGGAAATCAATGTTATAATGGGTAGTATGCTTTGCTGTAGGGGATAAAAAGCAAAGCCTGATTAAAAAGCATGATAATAGGGGTATTGCCAGTATGAAGAAATCACTTAAACAACCTTTTATTTTGTGTACACAGTGCTGGCACACTGCACTGTAGCTCTGCTGTTTGTGTCTGCTCCCTGTGGGAGGTAATTGCTTAATGGAGACTGGTGCGTACTCCAGCTGACCCAAAATAAAACAGAGAACAAAGCAGGATTTATGTCTGGCATTAATTCAAGAAGTCACTTCACTTGTGCGTTTATTTACGGTAAATACATCAGAATTACCTGCCATTGTTACTATGCAGGTGCAGTATACGTTTAAATGTTATAAAACCACAATAGTAGAAGTTAGAAAGATTAGAAGATGAATTAAGCTTTTAAATCATAAACTCATTATGATTAATCATGGGGGGAACATTTGCCAAACTTTTGATGTGAGATTATAACTCTTGTGTTGTGCAGCCACCATCTGCACTCAGTGAACTCAGTTTTTTTAAATGAAAGACTCATGATGATGATGATGATGATGATGATGGTGAATGTGTTAGATAATATACAAGGTGGCAAAGAGACAAAAGTGAAGCGTTAGTCTGGAAATACCTCTAAAAGCAATAATTACAGCATTAAATATGCTAAAATCTCCCACACACACTGCCTGAGGCACCATGTGTGCACTAAGCTTGTGTTTCCTGCTGCAGTAAAACGCTGTCTGCAGTTACTGCACTGTCTGCTGCATAGATACAGCACATACAGCCCATAATCTGCTACAGTCAGCATCAGACATAAGGCCTGCCTCGAGGCTTAATTACTGCCAAGTAAAAAAGAAAGACAGATGGAGTTCATGAGTCTGTGAAAAACAGGGTGGAGAAGAGATGAAAAGTAGATGTTGCATTACTGTATGTGGTACATCAATGCTTTGAACCCTTAACTGACTATGAGGTCTATAGGCTCATATTTCCTTTGTTCTATTTCAGCTTGAAGAAATGCAACAATCAATCAAAATGGCTATTATAATTCTACAAAAGTATTAGTTTATTTACTCTGGTTTGTTACAGTGAGAGTCTTTATTGTACTTTAATGTGGCAGTTACCTCTCATGGTCAGGAGATGTTACTATCTCTGCAGGATTTATTTGAAGCTTGCTTTTCTAATCTTTAAAATGCAACAGTTGTATTTTATGAATGAGAAATGGGTGTTGTTTCACCTTAGCAATAAAGCTTTTTTCACAGTGACGTAGGGGTGGCCTGATAAATGTGCTAACATGACTCCATACTGCCTCTCTGTGGTGAACTATGTAAACAGCACTTAATGTTCCTGCAGGACTTTTGCAGACAACAGGACAATATAAAATGTCAGCTGCAGATGACGACTGACATTTCCTGTGATAGACCCCAAAGGACCTAAATCTTAAGTCATGACATGTTATACATAAACCCAAAAACACTCAGTTAAGAGCACATAGCATAAATAAATATATATATGATGAGGCAATTTGAGCAATTACTCATTAGCTGTCCACCAATACCATTTAACAAATTGTCACAAACAACATTTAACTTTAAAAAACAATGAAATGCAAAGGACAGAGACACATGGTCAACAACATAATGGGTTTCTCTATTTACAGATAACTCCAGTAAGGTTATATTAAATTCACTTACAGAGCGATTAGGGTTATGCACTGAGAGTACCTGAAGGTGAAGGCTGTCCCTTCACAACGCCATTCTTCGTTCTCTCCTCAAAGTTCATCACCTCTTTGTAAATGAGTTCTGCAGGAGAGCAAAGTTAGGACAGGAAGTCATTAAACGTACAAAGTGATAGCACGCACTTTTGGTGATTTCATGTTAGCCAGTAGTGGACAATAGATTTATTTAAAAACTGAATGTTGAGGTACTTTACTTAAGTTTAAGTTTATAAACTTGTATTCTACATCAATACAGTGGCACATATTTGTGTATATATAAAAATGGTCTACTCCTTTACCAGCTGCAACACTGAAGTGACACACATGAATTAACATTAATCAGTACTTTCCCTTTTTAACTTTAAGTATATTTTGTTGCTCATTCTTTTGTACTTTCACTTAAGTCAAAAATCTGTGTTGATACACGATAAGTAAGTACACGTTTTGAGAACTTAGTCCACCACTGCTGTTATCTTACAGTATTTGGCTTTTGGTTAAATGATTTGAATAATTCTCACCTTTCCATTCATCAATGGAGTGTTCTCTTTCATCCAGCTGCTTGTCGTAGATCTGAGGTGGAGGCTAAACGTAAGAGAGTACAAACACTTTAGTAAGTCAATCATCAAAAATAATTTAACAGGAAATTCATATGGCTGATATCGTTGGATAACTCCAGGTAAAAGGTGAATAGAAAAACATCTAAGATACACTTTTATATAATACTGCATCAAATTTAGCAAAATGAAACATCTCTCCTTTAACTATTTATGTAAACAAAGTCATGGATTATGGAGAAAATAACTAAAAGAAAATAAACATTCTGATAAACCTTAATCCCATGAAAATATAATAAGCATCATTTAAATATCACATGTGTCACATTTATCAGATATTACAGAAAGACCAGGATTGAACATCAGACAGACAGGAAGATAAGAAGAAATGTGGTTGTCCAGCTAAAATGCCAATGTCCCTCTCCTGCAGGATTGTCATTTTATCTAAAAGACAAACATGCTGTCAGTCACCCCTCCTGATCCTCTCAGACTCTGACACCATAATCTCACTGCAGGTGACAGGACCACACACACACCTGTCCGATGTGACCTTGGAGGGACAGTTTAATTCAGTAGCAGCAAAAGAGGTCTCATTTTGTATTCTCTATAACATGTATATTCTTATTTATGATTTATTATTGAGAGTGCTGAACCAAATATGTCTCCTATAATATTCAGTCTTTAATCTTCATCAACAAAAGTCCCATTGATTTTTTTTCTTTTTCTTTGGATGTAGGGCGGTTGTTATTTACCATGGATATTTGGATGAGATCTCTGGCCTTCATCAGCAAGAGGTGACATTAGAGAAAGGAAAAACAGCAGAAAATGTGTTGAAATGTCATTCACAGCCATATAATACATACCATATCAACTCTAACAACAATACCATCATGGAAAACCATCAAAAATGTAACAATGGACGAAGTGCACGGTTATGAAATCCACTAAAAATTAACTACAATGAAGGTGTGTCATGTGGCGTTTCTTTACAATAGCTACTGTATTACAGTATGCTATTTAATGCAAAACAGAACGCATTAATTTGCTCATTTACACTTAGCAGCGAAATAAATGTCTTTATCTAACAAGTAGCAAAAACAATGTATTCTACTAAAGATTAAAACTATTTAAAGTTCAAATAAAGTGTAAGTAACAGAGAAAAATGAAAATGAGATGTGGAGCAAAACTTTAAAGGGGACCTATCATGCAAAATGCACTTTTTCATGTCTTTTATTCATAAACATGTGTCCCCTCTGTGTAAAGAGATTCTGAACATTTCAGGAAAAAAGATTCGCTCACTTTTTGTCCTGATCCATTTATATAAAAACCTGTCTGAAAATGAGCTGATCAGATTTTGGCCACTTTATGATGTCATAACGATTTTTTGGGTTGTGTAACTATTAGCCAATCACCAACCAAGGTAACTACCCCCCACCTTATCACCTGAATCTCCTCCTAGAGCACCATTGTGTATTTTTTTAACCAAATATCTCTCAGAGGGGCGTTGGGAGTGGCCCCTTATTTTCATCTAAAGTAACAGACAGAGAATCAGCACTTTTGAAACAGGGCTGAAACAGAGGGGTTTATGGGATGCTGCAATACACGATCTGTTTGGTATTTCGAGCCAAACACTTCAGAGACATGTTTTGTATATATCTGAGATCTATAATATATTGATGAAAAACAGTATAATAGGGGACCTTTAAAACCCAATCAGAGAAGCAGCAAATATCTCTTATACAGAACAGACTGCGGAATACATTTGACATTTGTATAGTGAGTCACGATGATCACTTTTGTCCGAAAAAGAGGAAAGTCATTATCAAATTTCGTTGATTTACAAAGTAAACAGTGCTGACCAACAGAGGATTGAGCTTGTGATGGTGATCAATACACAGCTCTGCCAAAGGCCTACTCACCGCCTCCACCTCGGCTGGATCATACCACACGTTGATGTAGGGGTGCTGTAACGCGTCGTCCACGGATATCCTTTTAGAGGGGTCGATGATCAGCATCTTAGACAGCAGGTCTCTGGCCTGGCTAGCTGTGTTTGGGAAAGGAAACACATCTGTTTAAGTTCATGAAGCAAGAAAATATTCTTCTGTGCCACTTATTTGCCAAGAAATTGGAGCACAATAAGGAAGGAAGGGAGGGAAAGAGAGGGAAATGTCAGGGATTAAAGAGAATTATAAACAACAGCAGCTTGTCAAAGGAAACCAGATCTCAGAAAGCCTCAATCACATGTGGATTAGCAGATAAACACCACATTTTTAAGGAGGGAAAGCGTTGGAAAGATCATTTTAAAAATATTTTTTCAGAAATAATGTGGGCAAAATGTATTGTATGTATGCATCAGAAAATAATTTGCAACACTTGACAGCCATCCAGATTTTTCTGTCAATTTTTTTTAGCTAATTCAAATTCAAGATTCTAGCTTGTCCCAAATACAAATCTACCGTTTTTTAATAAGTGTAAAATGTAGGTGTTGATGCAAATTGTCACAGGCTACGACTGAAATATTGTATGGAAACTGCTCCAACTGGGGTGTTCCTAGATGTAGTTTTATAAAAGCACCAATATGTACAATAAACTGCATTCGTTTTTTTTTTTTAACATTTTGCTTCCCGAAATGTAAAAATGCCATCAGCAGTCGCTCAGTCTCTCTCCCCTCAGGCCATCTTAGACTCATGTGAAATCGAGAACCCTTTAACCACACACCATCTCTCTCCTATACACACTGACCCCATTATAAATAGCTCTACAGCAGGACTGAAGAAACTGAACAGGAAAAGACAGATGAGCCGTGTGCAGTCGCTGCATTCTGCCTGAGCATCAACACGTCAATAACAAACGGATGGCAAGTCTGTAAAACGACTCCTCTATCGCTCTCCTTCCACCTCTCCTGACTCCTTATCTATCTATCTTCTCTCGTGTCATATAGTACTTTCTGTCAGCCGCTGCCTCATGCAGTTCAAAAATAACCAAAGCCCTAAGGATGTCTGCCTCAGTTCCTACCTGTGACAGAACAAAACAGCAGCACTTCAACCCGGTCTCACACCCTCCCACACTCCTATCTAGCTGCATTTCCTTTAACACTGTCACTCCAGCAGGGAGCAGCCAGAATACAAAAGTGATTCATGAGAATTCTACCAGACAGGAGCTTTGATGTGGGAACAGGGACACAGAAAAAGCTTATTTTGTTATCTCTCAATGGAGGGAATTCGCACTTTTGGGAAGAATGGTTGCACTTCTCGACTTAGACGAAGATGATGTGGTTAACCCTCTGCATAAGAATAGATGTAATTCACTACTGCTCACAGAGGGGGGCTACACATATGAGTTTCAATGTAGAGGCCCAAAAGCGACATTTAAAATAAAAGTTTTTTGAGGGAAAATTTGTATTCCCTATGCATGAAGTAAACAAAACAGAGTCTACAACCTGCTCTGTGTACAACCCAGTCTCACGGCATTTCGTGTTATAGTCACGACATTTAATCTATTGATTCGTGTTCACCAACACGATTTCCCCCTTTTTTTCGTGTCACACAGAACGATTCACAGGGTTTTTCAAGCAAAGGCACTGTAGTCCCAAACGATATCAGAAGATTATGGGTAGTGTAGTGTCTTCGGCCATCCTAAACTCCGAAATGTTTTTCGGATTTCATATCGCATTAACACCATATCCCAACGTGCATTGCGGCTAAAACATCCAATCACCGAGCTTAAACCATAGCTGAGGATCTTGGGTAATCAGTTCAGTGGGTGTGTATCGCAATGATGCTCGAAATGTCTGTTTCCGGTTATTTTATTTAGAAATTCAGTTCCTGACGGACGCCAAAAAAGCCCAAGATTATAGAATCAAACAAATAAATAAAAACAAGGATAATTGTGTGTTATTGTTGAGTAAATAACAGTGTGTTATTTAGAAAAGAATAACAAATTAGAAGGAAAAAAAGGATTAAAAATGACAGATTTCAGTATTCTGAGGCTCTGAGCCCCATTTCTTTTCCTCGCGGACGGCAAAAAAAGTCAGACATTATACTATTTAAAATAAAAACAATAATCGTGGCTTGATATTGAGTAAGAACATGTTTTTATGAACCCCACAGCTTCCGGTCTTCCATGACCCGACCGGACAAAAAGACGTGTTGCAGGCACGAAACACACTACCAATAGAAATACATTGCTTTTTAAATCGTTCTGTGTGACACGAAAAAAAGGGGAAAATCGTGTTGGTGAACACGAATCAATAGATTAAATGTTGTGACTATAACACGAAATGCCGTGAGACTGGGTTGCTGTGTAACCGTACAGGTGTGCTTTAAGATAAAGGCTAACATTAGCATTGATGCTACACTAACCGTACAGCTGTGCTTTAAGAGGCTAACATTAGCATTGGTGCTACACTAACCATACAGCTGTACTTTAAGATTAAAGCTAACATGATGTTTTGCAGGTGTTTAGATTTAGCATGTGGAAGATCTTAGTGTTTAGCATGTGGAAGGTCTAGCGTGTTAGCATGCTCAAATATGCTAATTAGCAGTTACCATAAGGCGGCAATTTACATTTCAGTCATAAACCGAAATGTTGGTTAAATTGATATGCTGACCTTATGACCTGTTCATAGATAGATAGATAGATAGATAGATAGATAGATAGATAGATAGATAGATAGATATAGATAGACAGACAGACAGACAGACAGACAGACAGACAGACAGACAGACAGACAGACAGACAGACAGACAGACAGATAGATAGATAGATAGATAGACAGATAGATAGATAGATGGATAGAGATGTGCTATAAAGCGCTGCTCTAATTTATTGAAACATTAAATGGACTGGCATTATATTTCTGTTATAATTTATAGCAGGCCATTGTGATTTTAACAGGCCTGCACATGTGTGGTGTAAGCAGTAAAACATGCTTTCACAGTTCCCCTGCTAGAACATAACTGTGTCCCTCACATGATGATTTTGTGTAAATGTTACTATGTCCTATATGGGAGATAAACTTTACATCTTATGTGCTAGGGCTTCAGTAGTTAACAAATATTTGGCATCATAAAAAACCCTACGAGTGATTTTACGATGTATGTTATTTCTTTCTATGGTGAACTCCTCCTGTTAAAATAATTGCATATAATGCAATATAATTCAATACAAATAATCAAACAAATTGATTAAAATGCATGCATGACAATCCATGATAAACATATCAATGCAATCTGATAAAATGGCTAGAATACAGTTGATTTATGACATTTCTCACCTTTGAGTTTGTTGTTCTCAGAGTCAGCAGGGAAAAGGCAGTCGGGGAAGAGCTTGGGAAAGGTGAGACCTGCATATTTTGGCCGGTTCTCGACGTAGTTCCTCACTGTGGGCTGGAGCTTCTTCATGAACTCTGGTTGTGGTGTTCCCAGCTGCTCGATCACCTTGTTCCACTGGTCGATGTCTGGTGTGGAGGGTCAGGGTTAAGGGAAGCACACATGGGAGACGCACTATCCTGTACTCCTCAGTGTCCACTCGGGTAAAACCTTCCACACAATACTACAGAATATCGATTTAGAAACAAACACTAATATTTAGATTTTCTCAAATGTTGAAATGATGGACTTGTGATAATGGAAATGGTGTGTTCAAATCAAATGTAAACACATAAATATAAAACTAAGTATCATCAGCAAAAATATGAGTTAGACATACCTAAAAGCATGATCATCAGGTTCCACCAAGTATTTTTGTCAGATTACAAAACAGTCCTATCCAACCCTCAGACAAGCATCCATAGAAATTGACAAAAATGTGCAGTTTTTCTTATTGAATTAAGGAAATTGTAGGCTTTAGTGTGTTTCAAGCAATGTTTACTGCAACTCAAATCCAGCTCCAGTGAGACATTAGTTTGTGTCTTGATGAAAATACTTTGTCTATATTTCCCTACCTAAAAAGAAAAATGTAGTCATATAAGAATTATCCTGCTTATGAACCTCCTGACAGCAATATATACAGTATGAGTTTTAATTAACAAGAGCCATGTAGCATGTGGCTGTGTTCTGTGGGGAGTGTCGGATTGGGTTTCCCCTCCTTTCTGGCAGCAAATACTTCCTCTCTTACTCCAAACTCCAAATGACCCCCTCCCCTCTCCTGGTTCTCACACAGGCTGCCAGAGGAGGCAGGGAGCTGCCAGAGCGACCAGAGATCCCCGTTACTTCATCTTGCTGGAACGACACCTCCTTTTTGTCTCCATTGCAAATTGGCCATGATCCACCAAGTGCTCAGAGAGACAATTATTTTCATCCACCAAGGTTCTTATCCATGGCTCTTTAGCAAGTTGTTGGATAAAGCTGTCCCGATAACTTCTGTTGGATGATAAATTGTCCCGGATATAATTGTAATAAATGATACTATTCTCCTTTTAAGATCATTTTATGCCACTGATATATGTTAATATAATAGCACAATCCTCAGTCAAATCAAGTGTCTCAGGCTCTGTTAACAAAAATCTACGAAGTCTGCGCCCCAGTCATATAATGGTAGTGAAACATCTGCTAATTGTAACTGTAATATAAGTGATGATATCGAGTTCTGAAAACATTATGAAGACCTTTTGTTTTATTCCAGCTAGAGGTGTATCTCCTCAGCATGTCGTTGCCAAAAAGCATGACGCTCCACTCTGTGTGCTGTTAATCACTGGATTCAGGACATCACACACCTGAACGCACCTGAAAGCAATGCTCTCAAGTAACTGCTGTTTTTTTCATGATATTCAGGTTTACATGATAAACAGAGAGAGGGAGTGGCGAAGGTCAGAAGGATACGGTCCGTCCCAGGGAACAGCACTGTCCCTCTTATCACCTCTCCAAAGATGCAGCCGACTGACCACATGTCCACTGGGGTCGCACACACACCAACACACAGGCACATGCACAAGCAAACACACACACACACACATGCTCGCATTACCGTCATCTATTAAAAATCACATAACACTTCTACCTCCTACACTTGTTAAAAACAAAACCAATTCCCAAATGTTTACCCTGTATGCCTGTGTCTATTTTTCCTGTGAAACGTGAAGATATTGTTGATGACTCATCTTGAGCTCATTGGGTGTTAAATCAATTTATCCCGTCAATAGATTTGGAGAGGGGTCCACCTGCTGACCTCTTGTCTAAGGACTCAACGTCTGTGAGCCAATTGGAAGAGAGAAGAGCCCAAGACGTGAGATGAGTAACTTCCTTAATTTGAATCTTTATCATAACTAAACCTTCGTAATATTTCAAATATTTTGTTTTACTGAGATATACACCATTACAGAAGCTAGAGACAAGCTAACTTCCATTTTACTACATGACACTTTATAAAGTAATAACAAATAAAGGTGCAATCATTCCTTAATGAAGATATGCAGTACATGTCATCACATGTCACACCAGCTATATTTGTGCGACATGTAAGCCAAACAGAGCATTTTGGTTATCATCAATCCTTAGCTGTGCTATATAAATAAAACTTGATTTGATTTGATTTGATTTAGCTACCTATTTAACACATTGTTTTACTAAATGGCCTTTGAACACACAGTCACCCTGCGGCTCGCTGTGCTGTGACCTGCGACAGGCGGCTTTTCTTTATCATCATTTGACAGGTAGGTGCCGATAACTTCAGCCAGGTCAATACTTAAAATCGAATAGTCCATGAAGTGAATTAAGATGAGCAACGGCGGGGTACCAGTCCAGAAACTAATCTATAAGCAGCATATTAACAAAAGCCATTGATGTACTGTACAGTAAGAAAGGATGAAGTGTTAGGTGATAAGAGTTCCAGAGACAGAAGGAAGGAGATAGTGCAGAGCTCATTGCAGGGGTTTTCTAGTTCTCCAGAGCATTAATCTTTCAGGGAGTGCACACTCAGGGATGGAGAGACAGCAGTATTAGGCACAAGCAACTGCAGACACACACAGCTTATCTGCCGCTTAGCATTTACAGTGCAATCCTCTTTTAACCAATGAGGTAGGAGATATTTTACATGTTCGTTATTGTCAACGAATCCCATGGAAACACTAAAGTCCTTTATAAATTATTTCTACCTTGTAAATTCTGTATTAAGACTTTACCATCATGGCATTTGTCTCATTTGTTTAGCTAACATGCTAATAGTCAACCTTTCAACTTTCCTCACACCACCAATGAGCTGCTACTAACAGATGCTCAAAATGAATACATAATCCTTCATTATTAATTTACTGAATTCTTAATAACTGTGTCTGACTCACATGTGTGGGCACACTCAGATGGCAAGATGCACTTCACATGTTCACACACGTGCACAAACTCAGCAGGGGGACTTTTGATCCATATCCATCCTAATGAAGGAAGTCATCTGAAGGATGCAATTACAGCCCCTCGCTGCAGGAGGACACACCGGGTATCCCTCACAGAAACACTCTAAATAGCCAACACTTAAATATTTAGAGAACGAGCTCCATATTTTTGAACTGAGAGATTGAATAACGCTTAAGATGCAGACATTGTGACCTGAGAACAATTATATAGGATGCTTGTGTTAGGGTCTTCTTGCAGGTTCAATTAAAAGTGTTAAAAGAGGTTCAGTGGACATTTTAATGGAGATTTGTTATAAAGGCAGCAACATTATTTAGTTCACCTCATTAACATACAGGGAACATTAGGCCACACTAATAAAAAGGTAAAAGTAATGGAAAATAATGGAACTAAAGCAAACAATTACCATGTGAAGCATGTCACACTGTATGAAATAAATATCTACATATATCATAGGAATAATTGTCAACCTGACTATAGGTATTATTCCCTTTATTTTAAGCTCTCCAATCAATTGACTTTAAGAGTGTTTCAATTGGCAGATCTTGAGTCGTACACTTGCAACCCATGAGTTCTACAAAGAGTGATCGAATGAATTCTCTATTATATACAGCAGGCAGTAACCTAACAACAGAAATGGTGTTACCATCAGATAACAAGGATACAGTCCCGCCCAGGGAAGAGGATTTTGTGGCGCACCATTTCTCCCATAATGCACCCCACCGACCATAAATCCACTGCACGAAAAGAGGTGACAGTAAGACGAAGCGGGAGCAAAAGAAAAGAGAGGAAGGCAAAGGTTAGTGTTAGACACATTAAGCTTTCTGGGAGAAGCAACAGTAAGTAGCCGCCATTCAGCGAAGGAGAAATAATTAGTCAGAAGCTGGTTACATAGAGACAAACTCAAATGAGAAAAGTAATAGACAGAGAGCAGAAGAGGAGAATGACTAACTAGCGGCAGGAGAACCAGAGCCTTGGAGCTTACAGACTTCTATGCGTTGGAGGAAAACTGCTAATGAGTCATATCTTCGTCTGATATTCAACCACATGTCTGCTGTTCTAGAGGCTTTTAATCAGTGACTCGCTGCCAACACTTCATTTCATTTAAGTTCATTTGTAAATTGCGCGGCTTAACATGATGTTCATATAAGCTTCAATAAACTCTTTTAGTGAGGTAGTGTATCAGCAAATATTGCTAGTGCTATCCTTTCAATATTTCTGAATTTCATCCACTCATTCACGATGAATGCTCACCGTTCTCTTTGTATCCCATGCCCAGGATCACCTCTGGGGCTCTGTAGTATCTGGTCACCACATAGGGGGTCATCATGAAGCTGGTGCCTGCGGTCCTGGCCAAACCAAAGTCCAGGATCTTCAGGGTGCAGTCTGACTTCACCACTATATTGCTTGGTTTGAGATCCTAAAGATGGGAATAGACTGATTTGAGGAACTGTGTATACATAGGTCATTTACTAACCTTATATTCTTAGACAGGTTTGAATTATTACTGTTATTTGACTTGTTTATTATGTAAGGAATATTGCATGTGGTTTAAAAAAATAAGTAGTATTAACAGCTATGTTTGTTTTTGTTATTAATCTATTAAAGGGGCAATACATGTAATCATTGTTACATTTGATTACATTTATATTGTCACTGAAGACCAAAGCACAGGGGGAAAAAAAAACCTGTTTCCACGGTGCCACCTTATCCAAAGTGATGGCTACTGATGTTAAATTGAACATTTCTACCCAGAAACTTGTCAAAACAAACCATATTAAAGAGTTAAACAATTGAATGGAGGTGTCTTGCTCTCCTACCCTGTGAATGATGCCGGCTGAGTGCAGGTGTTTGATTCCACACAGCATCTGGTAGAGCAGGTAGGACATTCTCTCGTGGTCAAGCTCCATCTGAATCACCTGGCACAAGTTGGCATCCATCAGCTCCATCACTAGGTACCTGGGAAAAAGATTGCATGGATTTATAAGGGGTTTACGGACCTAACAGGTGAGTGACTGATGAGTTATTTCACGGGTTATCCTTTAACTTAAATCATTTGAATTATAGCTCTAAGTGAAAGTGATAAACTGAGCATTCCTTTACCACATCTGGTGCCACAAAGACAAATAATTTGCAGTTCTGTTTACAGAGACATTGTTCTAAACTCTAACACAATCTCATGTATCATTCATTATGTGAACAGGACACCTCTATCAGCCTCTGGTTACTCCTACAGTACTTTCACTCCAGAGGTTATGTTCCAACAACTGCAGGTGTGAAGGGGCAATGAGCAAATCAGTCCCTTTCTACTCTCTGTCATTTGAGTAACAATATGACAGGAAAATAGGCATCTTTTCTTTTCCTGTGACATGGAAATATAATCATGCATAGAAGGATTTAGTATACTCACACATCCTGGAAGTCCTCTAATGATTTCTGTTGTGTGAAGACATTTAATAAACTGATAATCTGAAAGAGAGAAGAGCATGGAGAGGATCACCGTAAAGCAGTTTCAGTAAATGTACAAAATCGAAGTTAGCAGGGAATGTGGAGACAAGTATTAAAGACCCTGAAGAACTGCTGAGTAAGAGATAGAGTAGACCGAAGAAGTGAATTGGAACAAAAGAGTGGGGATAAATGTGTAGGAGGGGAAGAAGACAAAAAGAAAAGAGCTCAAACTGTGGCACTGGAGATTACATTCTTGCCTTGGAGAGCTCTCTGTTTCACTCTCCTGCCAGTTTGGTACATTTCTGGAGGCATCAAATTTAACACGGTCGTAATGTTGCAGTCTCTTGTCTCAGTTTTGTGGCGAAGGGATTTATCAAGAACCAGAAATAGACACTGAGTATAGTCTAAAACTGTGCCTCATCCTGACAATAGAGACATTGTCATCCTTCCCGCATTCCTCCCTATCCCCATTACCCCTCAGCTGAATCACTTACATTTTTGTGATTGACACATTTCATGAGCACCAACTCCCGGTAGGCCCTCTTTGCGTGGGTCTGGTTCTGGAAGGGTCTGCTCAGCTTCTTGATGGCTACATTTCTGTCCAGGACAGCATCGTAGCCCGCACTGCAGAAGAGATAAAATAGAGGACAATGGAACCATTTTCCTTTTGTGTTTATGGTTGGATGAATCACAATACTGTGGCAATCCACTCTGAATGTCATTGGACACAAACATAATAATTATTTTTGACAGCTCCAACAGCTCCAACAACAAAAAAATACTGAAAATTTAAATAAAAATGATTTGTTTAAAGATGTTATCTGGAAAATATTTTTTCTGCGGTATGGTCTTGTCAGTAAAAGATAAACCTTAAAATCAGGTTCAATGTGGCTGATTGGCTGTTGTGAGCAAAAAAACACAAGCATTTTTTTAGCGATTAGAAAACAGTTCTAGCAAAATAAGCTAAGTCATGGTAGTTAAACAATGTGTGGTATAAAAGGCTAGCAGTGGGAGCAGCCATCTTGAAAATGTGCAGCAATGCTCCCAAGTCATGTTCTTTACATTCTGCCAACATTGCGTGAATGCAAGCACCAGTAAAAAACCCAGGAAGTCACTGTGACCTGCCAAGAAATAGTGACCTTTGGACCGAGCTGGGCTAGCTGCTCCCAGCTAAGTTAAACGCTACAAACTTTAAATGTAATATACAGATAAGAGAGGAGTATAACTGTTATCATAGTACAACCTCCTGACATTTTTATTGTTTTGTGCAGATTAAATGTGTTGATTTCCTAGAGAGCTGGTGTGCATAATTGTTATATTTGGACACAGCCAAGCTAGCTACTAAGCCCTGTTTCCAGTCTTTATTCTAAAACTAAGATAACCAGCTACTGGCAGAGGCTAACAGCACAGATTGAAAAATGGCATTGATCTTCTCATCTAATTCTTAGCAGATAAGAGGATTTCCAAAAATGTAAAACTATTCCTTTAATTCCAGGTACAACCATTAAAATGCTACCATAAAACCTGACTTTACCTACTTCTAATTATCAGCATTAAATATCAGATGACACTTGATTATAATATGAAAACATTATTGATGCTGTTGTATTAAGAACAATGAAGAGTACACTGCAGTGAAACAAAGGAGGACACTTTAGATGGCTTCTTTTTCCACATAGTGGCTCAACCCATTTTGGAGGTCATTACTGCAAAGTGAATTCTTTGCAGACTCGACACAATCCCAGCCCCTGGGAACATTTGGGATTTAGTCTCTTAGAGTAGATTTATGTTTGCTTTCAATGAAAAGCAGTACCATGACAAGAAAAAGCCACAATAAAGATGCCATTCACATCACATTCTCAGCTGAATCTTAAACTGACACACATTGACTCTCAGTGCTGTATGCAGGCTCACTGCATCAAGTCGACGCTGTGTGTGTGGGTTTGTGGACGGATGGGATACAAGTATGGTTCATCATGTCTCTGGAGACTGCAGGCCAGGGATGTTGTGTGACCATGGAAACAGTGAATCCTTCATAAAAGCATTGATCCAATAGGGATTGGGGCCTGTCATCACGTTTCTTGCTGAGTGAAAGATGATGTCATGACAAGCTAAACTACTTAAAGCCTTCATCCCTCATAAGATTGCTTGGAAAGCTCAGCCTGACCGAGCACAAAAGTCATAAGGGCAGAGATGTGCACAGATTGGTCAAATGTAACGCCATTACCATGTTCTCAGGCTTTAAGGGGCAAGAACCCCCTGATTGCATAAGAAAAAGCAGAATTACTCACTCTCTGCTTTTTTATATTCTAATTTACATACAAGCTGTTGTGCGGCACATGAATGTTGGTAGAACATCTGTTTAAATCAGACAGATGTTCATGTAGATGAGATTATGACATCCACTCTGGGATTATGCTGACAGTAATGCACAGTTGGCAAGTCGCTCTAATTATGTTATCATCCTGTCATAATAAAATCATTCTTCTAACATTAATATACATGTCACAGCTTTGTGCTATACTGTTGACATAGATGAGATCATTTCAATGTGTGTCACATTTCATCTCTATATCCAGAATAATATTACATCATTATTTGGGGGTTTTATGCGGTTTGGATCGTGGTAATGCCGTCACCAGATGACACCAGATGACAGCTGTAGGCAGGGCCAAGCAGCGCAGGTTAAATTAGATTTGCACTGTCTCCCTGCCATCCATCTCTACAATATCCTTCAAATGGGCACAATCCCAGCATTAGCAGTAACAGCCTGCCCAAGCTCCTTTGCAAATGCACAAAATTGCTTTGGAGCGGAAGGAGAGAAGGGCTGAGGGCATGGGAAGCAAAGGAAGGACAATAAAAGAGAGCGAGTGGAGGGCAAGGGGGTTTAGACTGTTGAGAGCAGCAATTCTTCAAACACCATATAAGAAAGGAAGATATAAAACATGTCAACTTGGCTCATCCCAGGGAGCGTCTCTGAGGGACGTATATCAACACAGTGACACTGCATTAACATAAATACAACTTATAATAAATATGAATTTGTTTGGTCACTTGACAAAGACTGTGAGATGCATTCCTTTAAGTGGAGACTTGGCAGTGGTTCGCTGCGTTCTGACAGGGCATGTGAGATGAATTACAATGAATATGAGCTCTCTGCAATCCGGATTAAGGACTCACCCGTTCTGTAAAACCGTTATAGCCAACACATCCTTATTCTATCCAACAGTTATCATTAGCTCATTGCACCGGAAAGAGAATGAGCCTATAGTCAATCCAAATTGTGTGGCCAACCACTTCACATGTATGACTACATTTTGCCAAAAATCCTGATTCAACTAATAAATATAGTCATTTTTGTAGTTTTTTCATGTCATATTTGACAGCTTCTACTGATAAATAATGCTCATATTTTGACACTTTCTTAATAAAGAAGCAATAATGGTCCTTAATTTGCACTACATGTTGTTGTTTGCTTTTACATTTCCATCCTTCTTACCTTCTAAAGTCTAATATAGAATACATTCATAAACTATTGAATTGGTATAATAGGAAGACACAGGTTCGCTTCTCAGTTAGCTGTGACAAAATGTCAGTCACTTGCAAATACATTTCTCCAAAATTAGAGCAGGAAGATCTTTTACTCATTACTTGCCACAATTGATCCTTATTTGTTTAGGGACACAAACATGTTTATACGTAATCACGCTCTGGTTTAGTTCAAGCTTAATCAATACTTAATTACACATGTTTTCACAGAAATAATAGAAAATGTTGACAAAGTTTAAAAGAAAATTGTCATCGGATCATTATCTTAGATATTCCTATTCACCTGCATCACAAATACATTCATAATTGAAGTTTATTTGTTCTTTTAAAGCAAACTCTATCTGTTTGCCATGTCGGGCTGATCACAACAATTCTGTCAAAATGGATCCCAAGGCTGCATGCTGTGCAGATGTTATGTTTGGTCATGCATAATGGAGACACAGCAGGATTTCATAGAGCACTGAAGAGCACTGACTTTCTGATTGCCCAATTAAATAAAAAAAGTAAAATTACTTTGTTCAGCCTTTTACTCACACAACAGTGGAAACAGTAAGCAGTGATTATCCTCCCTTAACAATCTCCCACAGCAATAAACTACAACACAATTAGAAAAACAACAACCAGCTAAATGAGATAATCACACATTGAATACTAATTAAAAAACACATCAAATAGCATGATATGATGTATAAGAGGACATTAAGGTAACACACTGTTGAGCACTTACCAGACGATTCCCTGAGCTCCAGACCCGATGGGCTTTAAATTCTGGTAACGTTTTAAAACTGTGAAGGTGGAGTCTCCCACTTCCACACTGTAGAACTGGTTGTCCACTTTGCTTTTGCTCATGTTGTAATGTTGGGCGATATATGACACATCCACTTGTTTTCCAAAACCCTGCATAAATAAAACACAACAAAAAAAGATGTTGTTAGTTATGTTATAGAAGATTTATGTGTTTACTTACCTGGCAAGCTGCAATAACAGTAACAGTAAAAGGTCATTCTTATTGTGCATATGTCAATACATTATTATTTTTAAAATCATTAACCATCCAAAAATCAATCAATGTGTATCTAGCTGCTTCTATAATATTGACTCTTTCTTTTGCATTAAATGTGTGTATATTGGTATTTAAGTGTGTGTTTGGGGATATTTGGTTAACGGGGAAGGTAGAATAAACAGGACAGGACACACAGTACAGGCCAGTTTACACTGTCTCCATGCAGAAATGTAAACTCTACATGTTATGACATTAGTGGCACTAACTGTATTCACCAGACTGAGGACATTATTATTTCATAAATGTGCACACAGAGCAGTGGAACAAACGGTGCCACAACAAAAAACGATCAGTTAATTACAGACTTAGTAATTACAACACTGCTCACAAACAAAACAAAGCTGTGTGTATTACTGTGTATTACTGAGGGGCACACGTTTGAAACACTTCCTAGAAATGCAATGAAAAATGTATATATTTGATTTAATACATTTTAATTTAACATTGCCAGCATGGTATCCAATCCTCTGATCTGGTTACTTCAATACATGCAGCCCTTGCTATATAGCCATCTATAGTGGCTATTAAACATGTACGAATGCACGTGTAGAACAGACACATGCCAAGTTCATAATTTTAGCTAAAGCGAAATAGCCTGTAGCCAAACATGCAGTTCTCACACATGCAGACTTGTGATATAAACTCATTGTAAGGAAATTAAACCCGTAGGAGTTTCACATTTAAAAGGAGACAGGCGCTTCAGCTTCAGCTAGGAAGCCTCTTCATTATTTTGTCTTTCAGTGGCAGATAAACTTTTAAGGTAACTTAATCTAAAATCAGGCCTACGGTACCTGACATGTTTTATTCTTAGCTTGCGTGAATTCATTTTTAACACCATAAGGCTACAAACTCTTCACCTAAAAATGTTTTTGCCGCAAGCTATTTAAATAATAGCTCCCAATTAATGAGTTGAAATCATTTTGAGCTTCAGGGTTATCCACCGTTATGTCTTTACTGTTGAATACATGTTGTTAAAAACATCTTCACTCAAAGGGTTTCTTTGGATATCTCAATTCTAAATACAGAAACACAACAATACCACAACATACAGAACAATGAAGGGGAAATGGAAGTGAATGAGTACTGTACCTTGTTTACCTGTAAGGAACACACACCTGACAAAAGGCTATCTTCACATCCAGGATTGGTTGGCTGCAGTTGTATAAGAAATGTCTGCTCGTAAATACCTGTGACACACAAACAGAGGAGAGCCAGAGTCAGGGAGTGAGTCATGCGGACATTGGTTACACAAATGTACAATATGTAGCCTGCAATTTGATCAGAAAGAATGAAACTGATCCTAAATATAAAGTCTACTGATGGTACATTCAATCACATCTGGATTTATCTTTTATTGCTGACAACAACAACACATAATATATAAAATATAAGAAATCAGTTTGATTTATCATGGTCTTAGTGGAGCATTGTGCACAGTAATGGAATAGTTGTTTGGGCCCTTGTTCTTCCATCGCTCCTGATGTTTTCTCTCCACTCTGTCCCCATCATTCTCAATCAAAGTGAGAAAAACAACATGTTGTCCTTACCCACTCCTCTATTACAGTAACAAGAATAGACCAATATGATCGATTCTTCATCAGAGTGCAATGCACCATGGCTACAATGACCAATGTCTTTGTGTTTCAAGGTACTGGTGTGACGTGAGTTGAAAAAAGACCTGAATACAGATGGTGTTGTCGAGGAGAAAGACAGTAAGGTTGTGGGGGTTAATGACTGACTGAAGCCTTATATTTCTGCTATCCCTCTTTATTTGCACAAGGCTGATATCATAACAGCACGTCAACACTTTTTGGGTCAGATTGTATAACACCTTTTGACATTCTTATAAATCTTTAATTTTCAGCTTTAAAGCTAATTATTTTGCCAAAAAGGTTGGAACCTTAAAACCGATTAATCCCTTAGTGCACAAACGTGTAAATGTCCTCATTGTCTTTTGGCTATATATGAAGTAAATCAAAGTTATTAAATCAGTAAGATTAGTTGTGCAACTGATTTATGAATGTTTTTTTTAATGTTAAAACTACAAACACATATACATATTCTTCAGGCAACAGCCTCAATAATATACATGTCTCATCTTCTTTGATATTGACCTTGACAGTAACTACTATAACTTCTTAAACCAGGTCACGGGATCTCTGCGACATTACCTAGAAAAGACACTGAGGAGATAATGCATTCAGTTTCACACGGTTATCTTTAATAGCACTATCATACATGAAGCAAGATTTCAAAAAGCTTGTGCCATCAGGCATTGCATTTGCATAAAAGTAGGGTAGAAACTTTGGCAAAGCTGGGAGGCTTTTACAGTGAAGGTCAATTTGGTTTAAATGTAGATTTGCACATTTCCTGAGGCTTTTGTGTTGGCAGTTCAGTTCAAAAGATTGCAAAGGAGGAATAAAGTCGAGCTATGGGCTGCAGTATCCCACAATGACTCTACCTTCAAAGGTTTTCCATGTAATGAAGCTCCCAGTGTGCTAATGATCATTTCTTCTGAATAAATGCATAAGTAATGTTAATGTTGGCAATGAAAATAATAGACAAGAAAAAAAGTGTTTGCTTGCCCAGCAAGAGGGGTCATATGCTTATAAAAAAAGTGACAAATGTCCCTAAATGGTTTGGCAGTGTTCACGAAATGTAGAATAGCAGCTGAAAGGATGTGTCTCCACAATGTTCTCTTCTAAATGTACTGTAGGACTTTCCGGACACAAATGTATTACTCCACCAGTCTTTTAATAATGACGAGGCTTTAGCGCCTCCGCTAAATCCAAAGGGAGTAGGGCAGTGTTCAAAAAGAGATGTGGGACACTAGGTTGGCCCATTCAGGCCGACAGTTTACTCTATACCTTTGCTGTTGAAAACTGATTCACTATAGTGCCTGGAATAAAAGAAGTAGAATAATCAAACAACTGAAATTAGAGTACAACCAAATAAAAACATTGGAGAGAGTTACATTGAAAACGAAAAGTACAGTTTTGAAGAGAGAGTTTTCTTAGATGCATCCACATATTGGTTGCAATCTACCACTGTTGTGATTTCATTTCACATCAATATGTTTGACATGACACCACTATCACCACATTTAGCAGCACAATATTTGCTATCAATCTAACAGGTCAACACTGAAATAAGCCCCTCCACCTAGCTAGCTACATCTGTCCCACTCCTAATCTTCAGCCATCTGTGTACATAACATATTAAACCTCTCACATGGCCAAAATGTTTGTCTTCCAGCAGTGTATGGTGTAATAATTCAAACACAACCTGGATCATCTCTCAAGATGATAACAGGATGTGCAGGAATATGTGGGGCACATAACTGGTTTAGTTTTTTCTTTACTTTACAAAACATTCAAAACAACATGAATGTAGAACATGTTTTCTTTCTGCTGTTATACTTTTATAAAAATCAGAATCAACCGGGACTTTTGCCCCCAAATATTTGGTAAATGTACAGTTTGCTGCTACTAGTATGAATCCTGCTTGGTTTTACCCATACTCTACAGTAAAATATGCAATACTAATACAAATTAATTGTTAATGAAAAATATTTCATTAATATTTATATAATAAGAGAAAATACATGAATAAACATGAACAGGAGAGGAAAAACTGATTATGTTGTTATACAAATATGTTGCATATATACTGTTGTGAATATCACTTTTTTCAAGTTTTCTGGGTCTTTCATATTCACTCAAACCTGGTGGATAATTTCAAAAAGGATGTAAACCCTGTAGATGTTTGTCCGCAAAATATGGAGCAGAACCATGAAACTCTGTGGGATCTTAACTGGATAACAATAAACAATTCATCTTGGAAGTATCATTTAAAAAAACATTACACTGCATAACAATAATAAGTTAGGAAACCTTGACTGTCATGAAAAAAAGGACTTGATTTGTATAATTATCGAGAACATTTAATCATGAATATGTGACAAAAATGACACACATCACACTATTTTTTTGTCTTTGTGAAGCTGACAGCAGATTCTGTGTTTGTTGAACCCTGAGACCAGATTCTGCTGATAGTGGTAATGGTTGAAATGCTGCCGTCTAAAACTACAGTCAGCACCATTCTTTTAAATGCCCATATATCATTCTGACAACAATTTGTTTCATCAGTACATTGTCAGGTGATAGAGGGTTTGTTACTCCAGCTTCAGAGTTTGGAGAGCAGCAGTGCTTCAGGAGGATGTACAGAACATTTGGACACTTTGTTGTAAAGATTGTACGATATTTTCAATTTGTAGCAGTCAAATGTTGGATGTTAGTTCTGGCATTTCCCCTTTTCTGGTATTGACTGTGTGTCTGATAGTGCTGTTTGAATTGATCAGCCTGGGATCAAAAACAAGCCAGTTTAAGATAAAACTGTGCCAAAGCATCACACTCATAGTCTTTGTCTCTCACTAACACATTCAGACACAAATGTATTGCACAATTACAAAAGGCCGGCTCTGTTACACTGATGAGACACTCGTTATTAGGAAAAAACTAAAGAAACTCAAGAATGAAACAGAAAAAGACAAGAGAGGAGGTTTTAATTATCTGGAATGGGCTAATGCTTATCACTGATACAGCAGACCATTAATCTCCAGTGCTGCATGGCGATGCTGATGCTGAGTTGTGCTGGTGTATGTGAGCCTGTGTGTGTGTGTGTGTGTGTGTGTGTGTGTGTGTGTGTGTGTGTGTGTGTGTGTGTGTGTGTGTGTGTGTGTGTGTGTGTGTGTGTGTGTGTGTGTGTGTGTGTGTGTGTGTGTGTGTGTGTGTGTGTGTGTGTGTGTGTGTGTGTGTGTGTGTGTGCTCTGCAGTAGCTGTTCTTTAGCATTTGGATCCTTGGCATTCTGTTACATCCGCCTCATGGGCACAACAACGCCTCAGGCAAACCAATGATCACTCTGCATACTGAGTTCCATTGTTTAGCAGTATCTTATAATCCCAGCACGATCTACTGTAGGACACTTCAGCTCTCTCTTTCACCTGCTAGTTTACTGCACATGCATGGCAACCATGCTGCATAGCAGCCTCTGATTGGACGGCTGGAGGACCAGTGTTGAGGGCCAAAGAACTGTTAACATGAGCAAAGGCACCAGATCAGCAAATGTCTCCCCGTTTATGCAGTTCTAGTGTTCACTTTACATAAATGGCTTAAATTAGTTTCTTAGGTTGTGATAAAAAATATTTTAAAACTCCAATTATATTAACTGAATTGATTCAATTAATGATAGTATCAAAGGTTGACAAGAACGGTATCACCCTCTCGGCTCAACTAGAACAAGAAGGCAACATTTTAAAAAGAAGCAAAGAGCTAAAGACATGTTTATCATAGACACTGGACCGTTTGACTTGAAAAATTCAAGTGTAACTATTAACATTTTCAATTGCTGCTTTACATTTAGGCGTGGCCTGCCATTTTTCACAGTCGACATTTTGTGCTATTTAGTACACAATGTACTAAATAGATATAATTGATGACATGTTAGCGTTCCAGTAAGACACACCACTGTGGGTGTATTGTACACACATGTAATGGAGCTAATAATTCCCTGGGACAGAACTGTTATGGTTATAGTTTCCAGTAAAGAAAACAGAAATTGTCTACCATTTCTGTATTCAGAAATGGTAGACAATTTATTTTCACAAAATGAAGCTCTATGCTTGATATTACTTGCAAGTAAGATCAACATGACAGCATCAGAAGACCCAAATGAATATTTAATTATGCCAGTATGCTAGACAATACATTTGTGTGAACTGCAGAAACACTCATATCAGACACAAATATTATTCTTATCCAATTTAAATCATCCGAAAAGTAAAATGTTGTTCCAGCCTTGGCAGAGCAGCAGGTGAATGCGCCCATTCATGATTTTGAAGAAAGGTAGATTTAAATTCATAGACACTATTATTGAAGGAAAGGATATGAGAAAACGAAAAGGGTAATTTGAGTATGTTTCATTATTTGTTTTAAAAAGTGCAGCCAGGGGAGATTTCAATCCAATATTGACTGAACATGTGTCTTGACAATAAGGTGTGTCAAAACATATTTAATAGAAACTGTACTGCAATCCAGAAAAATAAAAATAGATAGAACATTTTTGTAATAGATTGGCAGAAAATGTATGGCAACAGTGTTATAGAATAGAAAAACAATGAGGTGCATTATCAAACACTGTGCTTGCTCTATGCATTTTACAGACTATTCCTGACTCAGCATAGCCCATATTGTACAGAAAGACATGTCATGGTTGTGTGTTTCAGCCACATAATATAAGCTGAGTTATAGACAATGTTTTATGCCTGCATTAAATCGGTTGATTGACTGTTATGGCACCATAGGGCTTCTGATAAAGCACAATGTGCCCCCCTGTCCTGCACACCAGTGTAATTGTTTCCTGTCGTATCCATCTTTGTTTCCTCTCCTCTCAACAATCTCCTTCCCTCTGTTTTGTTGAGGCTTTAGCACATGTTGTCACAATGCACCCCACAACAGCCTCCATCTATGTCTTCATTCTTCCCTCCATCCTAAACTCTGATGAGAGTCTGCGTTCTCCCTTTTCCTGCCTGTCTTTTGTCCCTGCCTCGCTCCCACCATTCCTGCTCCCAGGCTCCCAGCCTCGCTGCAACCGTCTCCCCTCCCCCTCCCTCCGAGCTCCATTGTGAGTGCTTGGTTCAGCAGCCTCAGCCTCTCTCCTGCAGTATGCAGCCTTGCCTCCACTGAGCAGCCTGAGCCAAACGCAGTACAGCCTCCCATTTGGGCTCAGGGGAGGGGAAGGAGAAGCACTTCAAACTGCAGATAGAGCCAGGAAAACAAGACGGCACCGACTCCACAGCTCATCTACAAGGCTGCGATAATCTGAATGCTCACTGGCATCCTATCGATTTGTTTCTTTACAACATTTATCCTCTCTGTCTGTGCTCTCATCTGTCTCCTCGGTCACATCTCCTCATTCACTTCAAGTAAACAACAGACATGTTAGCTGAAAAGCTGCTTACACTGCAATTTCCAGATGAGCCGCATGGTAGAAACATGCACAGCTTTTGGCAGGTGCATGAACACATTTCTGATTTAAAGCTTTTCTTAGAGAATCTAAAACATAGGGTTAGGTTATAGGGGAAAGACCAAGCACGTTATTCAAAGCACCATGCCCTTCTGTTAAACTCCTGAATATTCATATATATCACGTAACAGGGTAGAAATATTTCATTTGACACGATGACAGAGCTTTCCAGATGCCATGGTTACAGCAAAGGATGCTTTCTAAAATAGATCACTGCTGAGTTTACCACACCTTGTACTTTATGTACTAACATTTGTCCAATGCCGAAATCTCTCACAGATATGCATCATATGCACAAAGTGGATGGAATTCATCAAAATCGGAAGCCTTTAGTGCATAGAGAACGTTTGGCGATATAAGCCAGGTTGACAGCATTGTATTTAGTCTCGAATTAATGCCTCCGCTAAAATCCTTTGATGGCCTCCGAGTTGCTACAATGTCCCAACCCTTAGTGACTCTAAAGTCTCTTTACAGATGTGCTGCGCGCAGACTGGGAATGAATCAACACAGCTTAAAGTCTGGCACTCATCTGCAAAAACAAATAAAAGCTGCATTTTTGTCAGACCAAATCCAATTATGTAACTGTGCATCTCACTCTGCAGGCACATTTCTCTGTTTGTCTGGAGTGGTAAGCAATACTGCAGCCTGAGGGAATCAACTTTCAGCATTAATTGAATTTGTTTATAAGAATAACACGGTAGTGTCACTGTACGACTTTCCCTAAAAACAGCCTTTATAGTTCAGATGTAAATATGGTCATACTAAACATTAATCGCACATTTCAGTCATAATAATTATGGGTCATTTAATGCAAACCATTATAAAAGCAGTAAAAAGCACATAACACCAGACAGGGATAATAAAACTCAAGTGCGTGAAAATAATATAATACACAATTTTCTTGGTTTAATTATATAAACCAACATTACATCAGGAATCAAGAGAAACTCATGCTCATGAAAACACAGTCATCATTTCTTATTATTCCTTCAAAAAGAGGATGATGGGCGACTCACATCCTCACCCTAACATGGATTATTAGTCGGAAAACCACATTTCTTACCAAACTATCTCCAACTTCTTTTTACTCTGCATGTTTGGTGAAGTACAATGACAAAAGTACCATTACAACCTGTTGGGATTCATTAGGACCACGTTAACACACAGCAAGGACCAATAAGTCAGGGTCATTGGGAGATGATGGACTGTGCCAGTGTTCCTCAGTAATTCATCCTCTTTAATGACGACTTTGACCTTCCATCCAATCATGAGAACCACGGCAGAATGGCCCTGACAAGACTGATGCTGACATTTAAGTAATTGATGGTCAGCAATTGTTTTTGGAAAAGTCATGAACTTATCCCATTCAGCCTCTATTAAACGTTATACTATCCCGACCTGGACAGTGTTTATTGTCCTTTTTTTTCACATGGTTATGTTTCTCTCCTATTATAGCTCATGCTGTTATGAATATTTCAGTGCGACAACACTAGAATTCATTAAAACCCTATAATATCTCTTTTAATGATGTTTAGCCACTTCGCTCTAGGTAGTTACCTCTATCACATTTTAAATATTTGCAAGTATTTTCTGTTATTAAGTCCACATTTGTATGAACTGATCATCAAAACACCAATCTGCACCCTATAATAATTGATTATCAATTCTTTGTTTAAACAACTATATTGTCAGCTTATTGATTGTGAGGTTGCTTAACTTTGTTTAACATCATTGTATATTGAATATATTTGGGTTTTGGACTATTGGTTGAATAATACAAGACATTTGAAAATGTACTGTTGGACATTGTGGGTATTTGACAGCTTGAACAGACACTTTAGGATATTAATCACCAGATTAATTAATAATTAATCTAACTATCAGTTGTTGCAATAGTTCCTTCCTTCGCCGAATAATCATGCGAGCAACTCTCATTATCTCATCTTAATACATTGCCTTACTTTCTTGCATAACAAAGGATTAGCAAACTGATGATCTCAAAGCAGAATGGAATTAAAATGCCAGCATCATCCACTGCAAGATAACATTAGTCTGCTGGTCGCTATTTCCATTGATGATTCTCCATGGGTAAACAAGCTGCCTACCTAAAAATCAATATCAGTGAATATCACTTTGTGTAGACCTGCAGTGGCAACTCCATAAAAAAACCCGGATTGTTTTATAAACTGAAGCAGAAATATTAAAATATATTCAATGATGTATCTCAAGCTGATGATGAAGAGGAGGATAAGGAGACGTAAGGTGAACCTCTTTATCTAATGAATCACTCCCTTCAGCCGCTGCAGAAACACTCATAAAAGCTTTGTTTAATTGTTAAGCGTGTTCCCTGCAGCACTTTCACAAGCATCGAAGCCTGCACATGAATAATTCAGCAACCAAGGTCACAGTGCTAGAACCTCTCTCTTTTCCTCCTCTTGGAGAGTTTGTTTTGACTCCTTTAAACCTTCACTGACTCACACTGACTCGACACACCACCAGTAATTAGACCATGGCTGTGTGCATGCACCACAAAGGTATGTGGAAGAATTTGAAAACTGAGCCAAATACTGGAACTAGTTTGTGACTGTTTACTTGCACCTGTGCATTTACAGTCTATTTAAATATTTGTCCAATAATATGCACAAGAATGCCCAAAACTAATTTAGAGAAATGATCTACCCCTGAGGCTGCATCTCCTTTATTCCAATGTTTCCTGCACAGAGTGGGTGGATAACAACTCATCCCCTCTGTGTTATGAGTTCCGTTTTAATGACAAAGCCTCCCATAAACCTTCCCTTAATATGCACCACAAACACTCACGGCACCTGTATCAGAACCACCACTGAGGAAAAAAACTGATATAAATAAACAAATCACCTTTAAATGAGACTGCTGAGAACATTTCTATCCGCTATTCTTGCACTTATGGTGGATCAGAGGCTGGTCCCACATCCCCGCTGAAGTATGGTCTGCATAATGCACAAGGTGCGCAGCTGACTTCTGAGGGGGAGGAGGGATAAACTCTGCATGTAGGCCTACAGTATGGAGCCTATATGTAAGCCTTGTGTTTTGAAGAGCATCATCCATTTGCACCACCCCTGCACTTCTAATAAAAAATGCATAACATGCTTCACAACAGTGTTTATTCACACTAAGATTAGTAAATTACATGGTTCACAAAAATAAGATTTAAACTCAGAATATAAAAAAACTAAGAACGTCCTGTCATGTGATCTTAATTTAGGGACAACATGATAAAAAGCTGTGTAATGTTAAAGCTTTTGCCTGTAAGGATGGAGGTGGTGATGCAGAGGATGGACAACATTTTGTCAGGTCAAGACTAACGTCATAATGAAATCACAGTGCTGTAGTTGTTATAAAACAACACCCGCGGAGGTGAATGCATCAAGATGGGGTTGATGTTTTCTTAATTTTTTTTGAGTAGGTGTCCCTTGCACCGAGGCATCGCTAGTGGACTTCATTAACCTTCCCTCCCGATCAATATTCATCACTCCACCCTCCAGGCAGCTTGGGGTGCACGCATCGCACCCACATTACACAAACACCCGGCCTTACCATTCCGTGCCAGCTGATGACGATCCCAGTCCGGTGACAGTCCTTTTCAAAACATCCCGACGAGAAACAGTGCGGTGACCATAGCTGAAGGCTTACTTTACACCGTTCATAAAGATGGGTCCAACAAATAAATAGGCTACTAAAAAACAAGACAATGAGGAAAGAAAAAGAAGCAAAGGTGGACGATAACCGATGTTTGCTGATGCTGAATCACTCTCCTTCCTCTGCTCACCACCTTGTAACTGTTGTGCTGCAAGATGCTGGCTGTTACATTGTGGACCTACGAGAGCAGAGAGAGAGGGAGGGAAGAGGAAGGGGGTATTGGGAAATATGTTGCCACAGCAACCGATCAGGTCTGACGTCAAGCCCGAGCAGAGAGAGAGAGAGAGAGAGAGAGAGAGAGAGAGAGAGAGAGAGAGAGAGAGAGAGAGAGAGAGAGAGAGAGAGAGAGAGAGAGAGAGAGAGAGAGAGAAATCACATGCACGTCTCTGTACGGGAGGGGCGCAGCAGCATCACTGTGTTCCCATCTTGTACCGATGAGGCTGAATGAGAATATGGGGCGGGTTGTTGTTGTTTAGATTTGTCTCACTGAGCTGCCAACATCTCACCTCTTTCATTGGTCAACTCATTTAGCCAACAGTGCAGGGGCGCTCCAAGAAATCTCTGCACAGGGAGGTCAGATACTGAAAATTAGGTTTGTATGGCTATACACCAAAACCAAAAGTGATTTCAATTTGAGGGTTAAGAATTTGCAAACTTTGAGTTTCTTATTTCACACGTTGTGCAAGATTCAGTGGCATCTAGCGTTGTGTTTGCAGATTGTAACTACTCAATACCCTACCACTACCCCCTCCCTTTAGCGGTAACTGTAGGGAAATATGGTGGCTTTCAGGTACAGTAAAAATGCAAAAGGGGCGGCTGATCGTATCAGGCCACTGGCAAACCCTTAGGAGGCAGGACTGCAACAGTGTCAATGATTGTCTGCCAAAAATGTTATAAATACTTAAAAACAAGAAGAAAATGAATGAAAGACATCGGTAAAAAAAAGGCAAGGCACATTTTTAAGAAGACATTAGTACAAATAAACTCAATGCATACAGCAACAAGCATAACAAAAATCAAATCGCTTCTGAGATTAGCTTTTAGTGTTTATAGTGCAATTTTTTTTTTTAAAGTGTTATTTACATAATACTTTTGTTAGCCTTTCTGGACCGTTGGTTTTATTGTATTAATTCCTTCTTATATTTTATTTCCCAGTTGTACCTGACATATCGCTATGACTCTTCATCTCTTTTATATATTTCTGCAAAAAAGAGAAAAGTAATCAAATTATTCATCCTATCTGTAAATGTATTCGGATTATCTGCAGCATGCACATGCCGATGGCTCTTTAAGCCTCGGGTCACATCTGGATTGGGCAACAAGACCTTGCTGCCCACCTGGTAGACTACTGAATGCAATATATCATTTAATACATTGATTTTTAAAGCCGCAGTATACATTTCAGATCTACATTAAATGAGGTTTGGCAACTTCAAGAAGAGGAACCAAAACATATGTGAGTGTCAAGCCTGTTTAATGTTGCTGTTTGGTGTGGAGCAGAATGGATTTCGTTTAAATTTGGTTTACCAGACCACATAAGTAACATTTTATATAGAAGTGATAACTGTATGCAGCTTTGGCAGAACTGTTGCAAACTCCCAATCATAAATTACATTTCTCAGTATTTTTATAAAATGCAGAGTCGCCAGCAAATGAGCTTTTAAGTATAAAACCAGTCCATCAGGTGGATGGAATAACAACACATTAATTAAAACATGGCAAGGCCTGTAAGGCGCTCAAAAGAAGGTCAGGTTCTAATTTCCTCAAGTCAGGCTCCAAGGTTGCCCGGCTGCCAACAATGAGGTATGTTCTGACCTCAGTTTAATACGAAGATGAATAAAGCGTTTGACATTGTTGACTTCTACAGCAATGAGAGGTAATTGAAATCTTTTTTCTGAGTCTACTGACCCTCCGTGGGTAGCAGCTCTCAGTTTGTGTTTGAGCATTGAATCACATTAAATTAATTGTTTTCCAACATTTATTTTACCATGTAGGTGACTGTGTATCATAAATGCTAACAGTGAGGGGTATTGTAATGCATTATCTTGATTATTATTGATTTAAAGGTTTTGCAATGTTTGTTTCAAAACACAAGAAGAATGTGCATTCATAACATGGATGATCATGCTTAAAATCTAACATGAGATTGCGTACACCTTTCTTTTCTTCACATGAAGCAAGCATCCATGTTCTTTAAGCTATCAACAATTGTCAATGCTCACAGGCTAGTAATATCACTCCCAGACTGAGTTTATAAATGTGGGTACTCAGCAGCTCCACAGAGCAGCCAATCAGAGGCAGAGGTTGCTGCCTTGTTGCAATCCATTGCAGTCTCATTCTCCAGTGAGATAAGCCACTTGAAAAACTGGTAAGACAGTAGCCAGCAGAGTTAGCTTACCTTGAATAAGATGCATCCAAATTATATTTGTGGTTGGACACAACTCTGAGGACATCTTTACATGGACGAACACCAGAGGTACAAACATTATTACAAATAATTTCTAATGGCTCTCTAACACTATATTGCCAGACGTGGCAAGTTTTTATTACAACTCCATGCAGATCAAGGAAGTATTTTCAAAGGCTACAGGAACGTTTTTTTAATGCTCACCAGCTGTACCCCAAAGCTAAACTCGCCAGTCAGCAAACCACATGCCTTCAGCCTACCAGGTGCCCCATTTTTCCAAGAATGTCAGAACATACATAGTCACTCTTTCAATGCTTCAGTGCAAATCACTCTTGGGATTAAGACCAGCACTGATGATGAGGAATTAAGGCCGATACTGACAGAAATAGAAGGAAGAAGAAATTCTGAATTTAGAAGCCCTTGCATTTCACATTTCAAACCCTGTTGGCCTAACAGTCTCCTGATGGGGCCTCTCTGCCTCAGGTAATGAACAAAGTTGAAAATACATTGAATGAAATTAGACATTGAATGAGAAATTGATCTTGTTGCCTGCAGTTTATCAAATACTCATAAGTCTCCATGCTTGCTAGAAATAAAACAAGTCAGTACTTTAAATATTTAACATTTAATAGTAAAACACTAGCTAACACGTGCATTTTAAAGAACAGGTTTCTCTTGTGAAAGTCAGCTACACAATGACTCAGTTTATTCTTTCTTTTTTCTTTGGAAATGCCATGACCTGGAGATGAGGAGGAAGAAAAAAAAATAAAGTCTTGTCTTTCCAGTCAAGTCTCATTATTGAGGCAGGATCATTGACTACATTTGAAACATTCACCCTGTACTGCAGTGGAATGACGGTCACATTACTGCACAATCTGCTCTGCACAATCTCATATAAGTCTTGGTTAAAGCCATCTACAAAGTTATTTCAGGGTCTATAGTAGGAATATTAATTTAGCACTATTGGATGACTAAATGCCTAAGGGTTTTGGTACATTAGCTGACACCAGTTTTGATTATTATGGAGTGAAAAACACTGCTACTTTAGCCCAATGCTGTTATTGTTATGTAAAGAAGCAAACACAAGTATAATACTAAATGGTGTGTCTATGTATGCATGCATGAAAACAAAAGGAGTAAAACACTTCAGAATAGAGAATGTACACAAGAATAATTGTAAAACACAATGCGCAATGACATCAGCTTCTGAGATGTTCAACTGGCAGAATGTAATTTAAAAAATGTGTGTTGTTGTAATCTAGTCTTATCACTCCAGCATATGGTTGGTGATAATGATCATGCCTTTACTGACAGACACAGGCAGAGATAACCCTTTCAGCTGTCACCATTTATGTAAGATATGTAATGACGAGAAACAGCCACTAGATGGCACAACACAGTCCATAAATGAGGCACTTTGAAGTGTAGGAAGGAAGGAAGTATTCTGCAGTGAATTGCTTCCTGACTGCTTAGATGACTCCTAAACAACTTTGAAGTTGTGGGAAAAACTGAAATATAGGCTTGATCTTTATAAAGATGTGCCAGTGCTATCTCCTTCCCAGGAGTGAAGGAAAAACCACATTACACACAATTTAACCAGTTTTGAGAGCATTTAAACTTGGAATATTAGTAGTGAATTTCAGCTTTTTTATGAATATTTATACTAAATTACATCTTCTTTGTGCATGATTTTAAAGTGAAATCACTTCAGAGTAACACATGTTGTCTAATTAAAACCCGTAACTTACTTGGACTATGATGCCGATTGCACTATTTTTTCAGTTTTCTTTTTCTGTTATGGTATGTTGTATTGTTGGAGGAGACTGTGACCCTTATATTTGCATTGCCAAAACTATATCTAGCTATTGTGAATATGACAATAAAGCTTTTCAACATTTGAATCTGCACCTCAGTTCCATCTTTGACTTTTACTGTAATTGAAAAAAAAAATTGAAACTGATTTTTAGTTCATAAAAGCAACTATGTAGGGGTTTCCTACCTATAAAACTTTGAAGAGCTATATATAGAACATGTAACCAACCTGATTCTGCGTCCAGGATACATGCTTACTCATACTGTACATTTTACTCCCAGTTGTGTGTGTTACTATAGAAACGGTTAAATGACAGTGCACAGCAGCGAGCCAATGGACAGCCATAGTAAGGTGTCTTGTTACTCCAGCCCACGCTAGCTGGGCTAAAGGAGGGGTTATTCCGCTCCACGGCTGTAATGGTGACTTGGCTGCGCTTTAAGGGAGCTGAAAGCTGTGTTGTGGCCATCAAACACGGATTGTTTTGAGCACTTTGTAAGGAAGAGATTTGTTTTTAACAGTTGGATAACATTACCTGCCAGTGAATTGTTTTTTTTTGTAATCTGTATGCGCCGCAGAGGAGACCTGTTGCTCGGCTGCCTCGCCGCCGCCGCCGCCGCTTAGTCAGCCACTCTCCAAGATGTTGCTTTGTGGATGGGATGGCGTCTGGTCCCGTTTGTGTGCGCACTCATAGCCTCGTTGGAGTACGAACATTTCCCTTTCACGTGATTTTGTAGCTCTTCGCGACTGGTAAGTTGAAAAAAAGTTAGCTAACTTTAGCACAACGGTTGCCAGCAACTTGTCCCCGGGAAAACGGAGGAATGGAGTGTGTTGCGGTGAGGCTCAAACGCCGATGCTTCAGAGAAAAACGTTGACAATGATGTTAGCCAGCTACTTTAAGGCTGGTAAACAGTCTGTCTGTTGATATTTAGTGTGTCTATTTTGTGTTAAC